GGGGGCAACACTGAGGGTTGCGATCCGTTGCCGGGCACGGAAAAAGACAAAAAGACAAAAATAAATAAATAAATAAAAATAAAAAAGTGGAAAATAAAGATCATAAAAATAAGTGTAAACAGAAATATTCTGTTCATTCCTTTGCAGAAGTAACAACTCTGAAGTAGCCACTGTAGCAAAATCAAGTAATTTATGTATCTAAGAATTTGGTAAAAATTAATTCTGTACTTTTTATCTGTCAGCTGCAAAGCTATATATATAATAATTACTTAAAAGCTAAAAGTTATTTCCCTGTGACCACTCTACAGATCTGTTTATTAACCCTTGTTGTATTGAGTGTGTTCTTTAGATCTTTTCTAACCCAGAGATTGACAAACTACAACCCATGGGTATTTTTGGATATCTGTGAGCTAAGAATAATTTTTAATCTTAAAATGGTAGGGAAAAAAAGCAAAAGAAAAATATTTTGTCATATGAGAAAATTCTATAAAAATTCTAATTTCAGGGCTGGCTGGTTAGCTCAGTTGTTTAGAGTGTGGTTCTGATAACACCAAGGTCCAGAGTTGGATCCCTATACTGGCCAGCCAACAAGAAAAACTTCAGATTTCACCTTTCATAAATAAAGTTTCAGGCAACACAGTTTTACTTACTCATTAACATATTATCTATGGGTGCTTTTGAGCTGCAATAGTAAAGCTTAATAGTTGCAAGAGACTATATGGCCCACAGAGCCTACTGTATTTATTATCTGGCCTATTAAAGAAAAACTGTTAACCCCTGTGCTAATTCTTGATATCCTTGGTCTACAAGAATGGCAATTTTATATAATTTAAAATAATGCATGAAGGGGGATAAACATTGGAAAGGAGGAGGTAAAAACTGTGGAGTGTGTGTGTGTAAAAATTTATAGACTGAGGAGAGAGAGAAGGGTAAATTCTGGAACATTATTGAGAATGAGAATGAAAATAGAAAATAATTATTCAAAATAGTGTTGAATGCCCAACCTCTCTGCTAGGCTACGTGGAGAAACCTTGAATCTGAATTGGGCAATGGATCAAACTTCATGTCAGCTAGGAAACTGGAGGAGTCACTTGAGAAAAAAATGTATATTACTTGGATCTAGAAATTTAGCAGCTCATCACTAGGAGTAGGGTATATGGGAAACAATTAGAAACTGAGGCAGGTGCCTGTATTTGTTAGCTTCTTAAATACAACACATTATGTAGGAGCTGGTCGCCAGTTGCAACCTACATGTAGGTAGAAGAGGAAAGGACATTAATATTTTTCGAACCATATTCCAAGTTCTGGGCACTATGCTGGTGCTTTACATTTATTGCCTCATTTATTTCCATAAAAACCTTTTTTTAAAAATTGTGGTAAAATATACATAACATAAAATTTACCATCTTAACCATTTTAAGTGTACAGTTCGGTAGGGTTAAGTGCATTCACATTGTTTGCAACCAGAACTGTTTTCATCTTGCAAAACTGAAACCCCATACCCATTAAGCAATAATTCCTCAGCTCCTCTCCCCAGCCCCTGGCAACCACCATTTGACTTTCTGTCTATGAATTTGACGATTCCAGGTATCTCGTATAAATGGAGTCACGTGGAATTTGTCTTTTTGTGACTGCCTTATTTCAGGTAGCATAATTCTACGTCTGTTTTTACCAAGGCACTTTCAAGGACTAAAATTTTCTATTGCTGTTGTTGAGAGAGCCGCTTGGGAGCGTGGTGGCGCTCCCGCCGAGGGTTCGGATCCCACATACAGATTGGTTCCCGCTCACTGGCTGAGTGAGGTGTGGGCACAGCACCGAGGGTTGCGATCCCGTTGCCGGTCCCAGTCCGGTACGGGCGCGACACTGAGGGTTGCGATCCGTTGCTGGACACGAAAAAAGACAAAAAGGAAAAAAATATATATATATATACATACCTTAAAATTTACCTTTAACCATTTTTAAGTGTACAGTGCAGAGTATATTCACATTAAGTACATTCACATTATTTGTGCAACCATCAACTCTATTTGCAGAATCTTTTTGTCATCCCACACTGAAACTATATACCCATTAAGCAATAACTCCCCATTATTCCCCAATTCCCAGCCCCCTGGTAACCACTATTTCACATTCTGACTTTATGCATAATAATCTTTTTTTTTTTTGTGGCTGGCAGCTGGCCAGTTCAAATCCGTAATAATCTTTTAAGTAAGGTTATTAGTTTAATTTTATTAATGAAACAGACTCAGGTTAATTAACTTACTCAAAGTGATAAAACATGTGATTGAGGCATAGAATATGAACTCAGATCTCCTTGCAAAGCCAGCGATTGTTCTACTACACCGTCCTTGTTGGCAGTTTTGAGAAGATGAGGAGTCTGCTCTTAGTCAGTTGACTCTCATCTGATAGACCACTGTATTAGTTATTACTGTCTTGTAACAGATCACCCCAAATGTAACAGTTTAACACAGTAGCAAATGTTTGTTATCTTATACTGTTTCTGTGGGTCAGGAATCCAGAAGTGGCTTAGCTGAGTGGTTTTGGCTGAGAGTCCCTCTTAAGTTTGCAGTCAAGATGCTGGACGCAGATGCAATCATCTGAACGCTTTAACTAGAGCTAGAGGATCTACTTCCATGGCGGCTCACTCATGTACCTGGTTGTTAAAAGAGGCCTCAGGGCCGGCCCAGTGGCGCACTGGATAGTGCGCCGCTTGGGAAGCGCGGCAGCGCTCCGGCCGGAGGGTTCGGATCCCACATACGGACCAGTTCCTGCTCACTGGCTGAGCGAGGTGCGGGAGCAACGCGCCGAGGGTTGCGGTCCCGTTGCCGGTCCCCGGTCCGGTGCGGGGGCAACACTGAGGGTTGCGATCCGTTGCTGGACACGGAAAAAGACAAAAAAGACAAAAAAAAAAAAAAAAAGCCTCAGTTTCTTCCAACAAGGATTTCACGGGACTGTCCTCATGAAATGGGAGCTGGTTTCTTCCAATGCTGATGATTCAAGGGAGGACAAAGTGCCACAAAAGTCACATAATGTCATTTCTACAATATCCTCAGGGTTACAGAGGACATCTCTATTCATTATGGGAGGGGAATACCCAAGGCCATCTTAGAGCCTGGGTGCCACATACACACATTCAGAATTACCTTGAAAGCAGTTGAAAATGTAGAACTCTGGCTGGTGGAAGACAAATCAGAGCTAACATAGTAACTTTGGCAGTAGCAGAGGTAATTACTGAAGCCAGTGGTATGACTAATAACCACTTTGAAATAAATATAGAAAGATTTTCTTGCCCTTTATATACATGCTCATGTGTTCTGCAAAGATCGAGACAAAATTCCATTGTTGGGTGATGTGTGTGTGTCAATTTTGAACATCTTTCAGGGCACTTCCAGTCATGTCTTCTTTACATAAAATATAAAATATTCTAGAGCTTTGATGATTGTAAAAGTTAATCTGTGCTTCATTTGAGAATTGGGGCTAAGGTAGTTGACTCTCTGTGATGTTTTCACAGCCCTTCTGTTACAATGGATGCTTTGAAGAACCTTTTCATAGAAGCTGGATGTTCAGTGAAGGCTTTTAAATTCTTTCAGTAAGTCCTTTCTTTCAAGAAATACATTAACATTATTTATTATAGTATGCAAATTTTAAGGTAGTTCAGTGAAATATGATGTGGGGGAGGAGATTTGGAAGCAAAATAAATCCTAAATACATTTTATATTTCTTATACATTTTTCAGGAAAGATCGCAAAATGGCGCTCATTCAGTTGGGATCTGTGGAAGAAGCAATCCAGGCCCTCATTGAGCTTCATAACCATGACCTAGGAGAAAATCATCACCTCAGAGTTTCCTTCTCAAAATCTACAATCTGACTTTTCTGTGAATTTTTCTCCTAAAACTGGACCATAATTTTAGTAAAACCTTCAGACATAGACTGAAGCAGCTCAAGACCAATTCTGCCTCTTTCACAAAAATAACTTTCTGAGTTTGATATTTAAGTATATTCAAAAAATCAGGAGACATTCTTTTTTTCCCCTGCCAGTATGTGATCAAAGTTTTGTTTTTTCTTTGTACCATGGTTTCTATGAAAATAACCTGCAGGAAAAAATATTTTTTCAATAATTTACCTCCCTGTATTAAATTAGATTTTGAGAGAATGAAATTTCTTTAAGTTTGGGTCCAGATCAGCCTTATACAACATTTCTAAACTCCTTTGTACTTTGAAAAATGTAAACATATGGACTTATTACTTAATGTAAGTATGGCCAAGTTTTTAGCTTAATGATTCAGAAGTTTGACCCCTGTAGGAAATTATGTTCAGTTATAAATTACATCAAATATTTGCCATATATTGATGGTTAATATACATAAACACATTGAGTTGCACTGGAAGCAGTTTTATAAACTTGCATGTTTTCTTTCAATGATATCTTTTTTCTCACTATTAGACACTCCTTTGAATAATACCTGTCTTTTAGCTTTTTAAGGCTATTTGGAAAAATGAAGTGTCTTGACTCTCCCCAGGGAAATGAAGTGGAATCCAACCAGGATCTGTTAAGATGTCAAAATAATTAATAATTTTATTAGGAAAAATCCCATTTTAAATTTCAGAATAACACATCATAGTATAATATCACCGTGGAAAATTTTAAAAGAAAAATAATTCTACTTATAAACTACTTTTTTATAATTGTTTTCAGGAAAAAAAGTTTACAGTCTTAAGGAAAATATTCAGGTCTATCATATGGTTTGACAGATTTTTTAAAAGTTATTTTTGGTAAGGTCTTCTTTTAGAAAAAATTAATCTCAAGGGGTTTTTGTACCACTATAATCTCTAATACTTATTCAGAATTACTGTGTATTTACTTAATTTCTTATTATGTGCCTTATTATGTGCTTAAGATACAGTAGGTTAGAGTTTTATCTAAATATCTTGAAAGCTATATTGTGGACTTGGTGAGTGTTTTTTTTTTTTCTTTCCCTGTTTTGGTAAGAATTTAAAAGTTTTTTTCATTGCAGTTTTAAGTGGTTTCTTATAACTAATGGTTTTTATTCAAATTTTGGTGCTTCAGTGCAGAGATGAGAAGGAGTGAATGATTTGGGGAATTACTCAGTGCACACTTGTAGGCCTCTTTACGTTGTGACTGATAAGTTATTGCCAGTTTTTGCATACTAGTTTGGGGATATACAATGCAGTCTTAGTTTCATCTTCATCACCCATCAGAATTTGTCTCAGGATTACTTGGTTTTTCTCAATACTCAAGTGAAAACTTGCTTTTCTTTGTTAATGTAACTTCATTACTGAGTGCCCACATGTTTAGAGTGTGAGAAGATCGGTTATTTCTTGTACTCTGTCCTTCTCTCTCTCTTTGGTTGAACGTAAGAGTACATTTTAATGTTGCTTAAGTGATTATATAATGAAAAATCGTTTCTTTTTAATAAGATACTTTTGCTTTTGCTAGTTATTCCTTCAATGCTTGATCAGATTTTTCTAAAGCAGAATTTGTCAAAAGGATCATTTTTGTCCACCCTTTTGCACTTTTCGCATTCTCAAAGTAGCTCATCTCAAATTTTAAAAGAATATCTCAACCACTTTGCTAATTCCAGCCATGAATTTTGAACATCGGGAGGTTTTTACAAAAAAAAATAGAGACTGCAAGAGATGTTACAGGTTGTATAAAAAGCAGAATTCACTCAACACTGAGCAACAGTTAGTTGGTAGAACAGGATACTAAGTTGGGACCTTTCGAATGGATCAGTTACTATTGGCTGAATAGATAGGTATAATCGTTTACCTAGTTGTGTTTTTTTTCTGCCTACGAAATATTTTTATCTAAATACGGGGTGAGGGGGTTAGAAAAAAATTTAAGAAATCTCTCAAAGTTTGCCCTTATTTTCCTTCTACACAGGCACTATTATAATTTTCAGTGGCATGTTAAATTGGATTATTTCCTTTGCTTTAAGTTGGGAATTGCTGTGTAATTTATTAATTCATGATTCTCTTAACAATCAGCATAAGTGTAGCAACAGTTACTGATAGACTGGAGATCTTAATGGTGTTGAATGTAATTTTGAAGTAGGGAATGGCCTTTAATTTGAGAGAGAACATTTGAATTCTTTTCAGGTATTTGTGTAGTGTGTGTGTGTGTGTGTGTGTGTGTGTGTGTGTGTGTGTGTGTGTGTGTGTGTGTAGATAAGTGTATGTATATACATACACTCTTCTAATATTGTGTATACATATGCACATTACATACATTTTAATTTATTGACAAAAAATACTAACCAAATTAAGATTGGAAAAGTGAGATGTTCTTATTTTAAAATAGCATGTTTGAAACCATCAGTTTGTGTCTAAATTAGCTGTAGCACATGGATATTTTCCATGTTGAGCTATTTGCTTGTTTGAATTATTGAGGTCTACAGAATTTGTGTTGGCATAGTTTTTGTAAAAAGATTAAAAAATATCAAGAGTGGTGGAAAAACTAGATCTGTGTATTTTTGTTTTGGCATGCATTTATTTGATATCTAATAAGCAATGATTTATTTTTGCTGTTGATCTGTCATAGTATACTATTTTTAAGTTTATTTACCTTATTTTAAGGAGTATTGTCTTATCACTTTTCAAGGTGTCTTGACTTTTACACAAAGTATATATATTCAGGACTTTAAAAGATAGCAGTACATGTTTAACAGTAGCAATCTATGCCAAGATGTTTTACTTTGAGATTTGAATAACTTGCATAGTGGTAATGTGTTTTGTGTAAGATACAAATAGAAAAATGACCCACTATCTTAATTGATAACTTACTGTAGGGTATCAGAATTACCTAGTAGCTCCTACAGAATGCCATAAATCCTTTTGTTTAAGACTAAATATTATAATCAGTTATTTGAAGTGATGTTCCTGATTTTGCTATTGAATGTTGCAGAACTCGCAGTCTTTAGATACACAATTTCTGTCTACCTAATTCCTTATGGGATCAAGGACATCTTTGGCACCACCTGGTATGATGATCCTAGATTCTGCTTCAGTTGATAAGAAGTAGATCTTATGAATATCTGTTCAATTTCATAGAAACTTTTCAAAGTTTCTATGTCATTAGTCAGGAATGTATATCTATTGAGTATATTTCTTCTGTTCCCATATATTTTTGGGCAAAAAACGATAAACTCAGAAACATGTGTCTTTTTACCCCTAGTGATTTACTCAAAATCCCAAAGTTTGCCAAACTGTAAGCTTATCTCTTAAAAAACTTAATGTGTACTGCTATTTTTAAAACCAAAAAGAGACAGCATGACTATGTATAAAGCATTTTTTTTAGCCTTTCCTTTGTCTTGATCTGCTGTCAACAAGAATAAAACTGCCAGACTTAAAATATTCTACTATCGTGCTAAATGAAATATAATTCTGACTGTACAAAATTTTAAAATGTAACTCAGCTGTCTTCTGAAAGTTGTGTTATTATCTTTCCTTTGTCTTGATCTGCTGTCAACAAGAATAAAACTGCCAGACTTAAAATATTCTACTATTGTGCTAAATGAAATATAATTCTGACTGTACAAAATTTTAAAATGTAACTCAGCTGTCTTCTGAAAGTTGTGTTATTATCCACAAGACTTACTTGCAATCTTTTTTCTGAGCATATTCTAACAGCTACTTGTTAATAGTTTAAAAAATAGAAAATTACTAAAATTTTAGTTTGGGGGATTTTATAGGAGGGAGAAAAATAAAACAGGACCAAAGTTTATGTGCCTTCTTCAGTAGTCTTAATTGACCTTTTCTTCCTATTTGAGACTAAGGTAGCATCAGTATTCTGGTTTTCAGGAAATATGTACTATATAGTTTTAAAAGAATGTTGTCCCACAAACTATTCATACAAACAATGAATTGTAACTGTATATATAGAGTCTCAGTTACACTTTTGCCTTTATCACATAATATTCATTATAGCATTGTGCAGGTCCAAGAACAGCTGCTCTGAATGTTTGTGGTAGTCACCTTAGTTTTTGTAACCTGAGGCATATGTTCCAGAGAACAGGGATATTTGTCTGGTCCAGTGACCTTGGTGATAATAGTCATGATTGAATGCTGCTTATGGTAAGCTTAAATCAGCACTGTCAACAGATTTTTTTGTTGTTGTTGTATACTTTCTGTTCTTGGATCTATGTAGTAGTTGTAATAACAAGTATTTAATTAGTTGGTTTTTATGTCATTAAAAAAATCATACTCTGGCCTTTTTTCCCTTACCACTGTTACTCAGATCTTTTAAAAATTTGTCTCACATCCAGAAAGTACTAATTATAAAGATTGCTGACCAAGCCAAGTTTTGCATCAGAATGTCACCTCACTGCTCTGACCAAAGACTGACTGTTCTGGTTTTAACTCCTCTCTGAAGCATTTTCCCCAAGCTCCTTTCTGAAAGAAGACCCAGTGCAGAGCGGCCTTTACTTTCTATTTCTTATTGGTGAATAGACTACTTAGAGAAAATGGGAGTTTAAGTGTGAGCAGAATGGATTAGGATGACAAGAGTTTGATGGGCATTTTCAGTACTGTATTTAAGGAAAAAAATAGCACAGCTAGGAGCCGCTGACATTGTTTCATATTTTACGTGTGTTACGTGGTCTGTTCATAAAATTCCCTATTTCAGTTTGTAAGAATGTTCGTCTACAGAAGAAAATGCTGTAAATATTTGTAACAACATTTTTTTTAACCAGACCAAAAAAGAAAAAAAAACAGGTTTTTGGGAACATGTTAACATATAAAGTGATTTTATATGAAACATCAATTGTCTTGTATATTTTGATAAGCAGCAGTACCAGCTTTCATTTGTAACACAGTTTGTGGCATTGGAAGAAGAGGACTCTGTGATTGTTGAAGTGAATTATGTTATAAATACAAAGAGAAGATAAAATATTAAAAACCATATTTTCTAAATGCGTAGTGCATGGTTAATTTAAGCTTCTGTACACTACAATATATTACATTTTCATTCAGTTTGTATATTTGCTGACTATTACTTGATATCTCTACTCTTTTCCTAACAAGTATAGCATTGTAGCATGCCTTTTAATAAATGTCATGACATCTGTACTCTCTTAAAATTTTTCTGTGTTCTTGTCTGTACTTTGGGTTTCCCCTTGTCTTACCTGTAATTCTAATGATGTTATATTTTCTTTTTCATAGCCATCCATCTAAACTTGACGTAGTTAGACAGTAGTAAGCACATATTAAAACAACTTTATAAAAAAAAACCCAAATCTACTACCTCTCTTTTTAGGAATAATTCTCATTTTGAGGAGCAAAGTGCTTTTCTAATCTTCCTATAATGCACCTTCTTCTGTGGCACTCCCTTCTTAGTGCAGATACATGTTAGCTTGCTTGCTTGCTCACACCGTGTTTCTCCTCTCCCTCTTTCCCCAAAGTGCTTTTCTAATCTTCCTATAATGCACCTTCTTCTGTGGCACTCCCTTCTTAGTGCAAGTACATGTTAGCTTGCTTGCTTGCTCACACCGTGTTTCTCCTCTCCCTCTTTCCCTCCCTCCCTCCCTCCCTCCCTCCGTGTGTGTGTGCGCACACACTCATCTCTCTTTCTCTCTTCTCTCTGTCACCCATATGTGCAATGCCAAACCAGAGTTGAAGCACTTCTTTCAGTTCAGCTCAGTTTTTGACTTCCCTATGGGATTAGTATACATACACTTTGAGACATGAGGTGTGATCTCAAACGCAGTTTATGTCCTTTTTATTTAAAGGGTAACACAATTACCAGTAGACTGTATATTGCTTCTCCTTAGACAGATGTTTTACTTCTCAGCCCTTTAAAGAATTATTGGGTTGCAGGAGTTTAAGCAGTCATATTTAGTTTAATCTTTTATTCTAGGATCTCTTGGAAATGAGAATTTATTCTCAATGGAATAGAAAATTAGGTAATCACTACTGATGCTTTGCTGGCTCACCTGTAAGATCTGTTGTCTCCATAAATGTCACTAGATAAGTGAATACCTACTTACTTATTTTAGCATAAGAAGTTTTATGAGGAAAAGATAAAATAACCATATGGCCAAATAAACTTGAGGCTTTTATAAACTTGATTGACCTCGAAATGCCTATTTACACAGCAGAGAGCTTATAACCATCATTAAGAGTTGTGCAGTTTTGAGCATAAAGGAACCTATGAGACCATTTAGTTCAATTTCCAGTTGATTGCAGAATCTAGACTAAAACTCAGGTCTCCTTGCCTTTGCCCATTATTCTCTATTGCACCCAAGTATTGCAGATATATCCTAAGTGCTGCTAGGTTATGATCTTGAAGGTCTGTACGCAGTATTGGGGTGC